GGGGGGGGGGGGGGGGGCAGGTCAAGGCCAGCCCTATTCTTCTGCTCTGGCCTCCCTGCTCTTCCCCTCACAGGGACGAACCTCTTTGTCATCTGCCAAGCAAGGTCAGGATCTTTTCTGCATATGGCTGTGATAAAGATAAGAAACTAGAGGGAGTGAAAACACCTGGCGTAAGGGAACCCTCCAGGTGGGCCCTAACTGCTATTTGTACTAGTGTCATTACAACAGTATTTGTTTGTCTGGTTGATTGGATTTTTGACAGAGGGTTTCTCTGTGTAACCTTGGCTGTCCTGGACTCTGTAGAGCACACTGGCCTCAAACTCACAGAGACGTGCCTGCCTCTGCCTTCCACGTGCTGAGGTCACAGGTGTGCGCCACCACACCTGGCCACAACAGTATTTTGTTGTTGTTGTTAATTTTTGGTTGAGACAGGGTCTCATTATGTATCCCTAGCTGACCTAGAACCTGCTATGTATACCAGACTGGCCTCCAGCTCACAGAGACCTGCCTGAGTGCTGGGATCAATGGCAAGTATCACCACACCTCTCCTCCTGCTATTATTATTTTCTATTTTTTTTTTTTTTTTTTTTTTGAGACAGGCTATCATGGAACTATGATATGTAGTATATATCAGCTATGTAGTACAGGCTGGCCTTGAAGTAACAGAGATCTTGAGCCACACCCCAGCCCCTCACTGGGGGATTCTAGGCAGGGGCTCCACCACTGAGCCACACCCCAGCCCCTCACTGGGGGATTCTAGGCAGGGGCTCCACCACTGAGCCACACCCCAGCCCCTCACTGGGGGATCCTAGGCAGGAGCTCTACCACTGAGCCACACCCCAGCCCCTCACTGGGGGATCCTAGGCAGGGGCTCTACCACTGAGCCATGCCCCAGCCCCTCACTGGGGGATTCCAGGTAGGGGCTCTACCATTGAGCCCCTATCCTTGGCTTCTTTTTCTTTCTGAGGCAGGATCTCTCGAAGTTGCTCAGGTTGACCATGAATTTATGACCAGGCTGCCTCAGCTCACTAAGTGGGTATGATGACAGCCACGTGTTCAAGTCCCAGCTCTTGCAATCAATATCACCCCTGTACTGCTCTTATTCCCAGGCCAACAGACATCGGGTCTGAGAAAGAGTGTTTCTGCATCCTGTTGATTCATACAAAGAGCTGGGAAGACCAAGCAGAAGGGAAAGAAAGAAAAGGCCAGGGAGGTCGGGCATAGTGGTGCACACCCTTAGTCTCAACGCTGCAGAGGCAGAGGCAGGCAGATCTCTGTGAGTTCCAGGCCAGTCTGGTCTACAGGGCAAGTCCAGGACAGACAAGAAAAAAAAAAAAAAAAAGGAAGAAAAGGCCAGAGAGGAAAGGCTGAAAGACAGATGGACAGACAGACAGCCAGTAGAAGGGAGAAAGGGATAGACACACCTTGGTAAACAAATAGTCCATGTGGCCCACTCGGCAGCCTTCCTCGTTGACGGGGATGAAGTTCCCCGTGCGACGACAGCACAGTGGGGGCCAGGGGAACACCACTTCCGGAGTGGCTGCCCGGAAGGCTGACGTGTAATTCACCCAGTCCATGGGGCCAGACGTGCCACAACATTCTTGCTGTAGAAAGAGCCAGGGTTTAGGCAGGGCCGGGCGGGGCTGAGGGCATATAGTTGAAAAGAGGCAGACTGGCTTTTGGCACAGCTGGACCCCACTTGTTAGAACCTTGGCCCTCAAAGTGTGTGTGTGTGTATGTGTGAGAGTGTGTTTGTGTGTCTAAACCAGGAGGCCGATAGATTTGGCCCAAACCTACACTCGTTTTCTTTTAAAATTCTTTTGTTGATGACTGTCTTGACAAAATGACACCAAAAGCTAGATTTCGGGGGGCAGGCAGGGGAGATAAATAGCCCAGCAGTTAAGAGCACTTGCTATTCTTCAAGAGGACCCAAGTTTAGTTCCCAGCACCGACTCTGGGGGGCTCATGCCCACCTGCAACTCCAGTTCCAGAGGATTTGATGGCCTCTCTGACCCCTGTGGGCACCCACACACCCGTGCGCACAGACACACATGTGCACATACAAAGTTTAAATCAAATTTTATAAAAGGACAATGTCTGGCTTTTCTCAAACCAGAGTGGTTGGTGGTTGTTTTGGGACAGGGTCTCACCGGGTAACCCAGGCTGGTTCCAAACTGGTGATAGCCTGCCTCAGCCTCCCAAGTGCTAGGATTCCAGGGGTGTACCACGATATCCAGCTCAAATGGGTACTTAACCAGAGGCCCCTAGCTGAGGAAGGCAAGTGTAGGTGCCCTTCAAACATGCTTCCGTTTCTGGGCCCCTGCATGACTTGGCTGAGCTGGGATTCTAATTCAGATTGTGGTTCTGATTCTTTCTTTTGTTCTTCCTTTCTTCCTTCCTTTTTCCTTCCTTCCTCCCTCCCTCCCTTTCTTTCTTTCCTTCCTTCTTCCTCCTCCTCTTCTTCCTCCCCCTCTTCTTCTTCTACAGTATTATGTTGGATGTAATTAAGACTGTAGCTTTTGGTTGAACCATGATGGTGCATGACTTTAATCCCAGCACTCAGAGGCAGGCCTGTGAGCTCCAGGACAGCCAGGGCTACACACAGAAACCCTGTCTTGAAAAACCAAAAAAGCAAAAAACAACAACAAAAACCAGGAGAGTGCAACTTCTGAGCTTAACTATGGGTGCATCTTGTCTCAGACCTATAATCCCAGAACTAGGACCGCGCAAGACAAAGGATGAGGATCTCAAAGTCACCCTTGGGTGGGTAAAGAGTTCAAGAAGAGCCTGGACTTCAGAAACACCTGCTTTAAAGTGCTTTGAGAGCTGGGTGTGGGCAAACAGGCCTGTGATGATTCAGTGCCTGAGAGGCTGAAACAGGAGGCCTGGCAGTTCAAGGCCTTGGCCTTGGAACAGTCTAGGTTGGCTATGCAGTGAAACAGGCTCTATTTGGTTGGTTGGTTTGCTTTGTTTTTTCCTAGACAGATTTGAGGTCCAGGACAGCCAGGACTTTACAGAGAAACCTTGTCTCAGAAAACAGAAAACTTAATTACTTAATGTTTTTTATTTATTATTTGAGAATTTCATGTGTGTACAATGTATTTTAATCATATCCACCCCATCCTTCCCTTCCTTCTAATTCCCTCCAAATTTCCTTCAATATCCTGACCAAATTTCATGTATTTATTTATTTATTTTCCCTAGAGACAGGCCTTCTCTTCACAGCCACACATCCTGGCACTCACTCTGTAGACCAGGCTGGTAGGGTAAAGAACAGCTAAGGAGCAGATCCTTCCCTATAATGTATGAAGTCCTGGATTCAATCCCCAGCAACACACACACACTCACATACACATGCATGCTTTGTTTTGGGAGGCAGAGATAGACGAAGAGTGGGCTCAAGGTTAGCCTGGGCTACATACTAAAGACAATTATTGCCGTAATTATAACGGGAGGAGAAACACTTGTCAGTGTTAGAATGCCGGCGACCCTGCCACTTACCAACCTGGTGACCCCGGATCTGGGTCAGCCGTCTATAAAACCATAGTGACCAAAGGCCCCCTACCCCACCTCGGTCCCCAGAGTGACTGTCTTCCAAATATTCATTCCGCCAGTGAGTACCCAGAGCCCAGCCCACCTCAATCATGACCCTGTCCCAGAGGCGGGTTAGCTCCTGGCCCTGGTCGGTGTCCGCACTGTAGAAGGTCAGCATTTGCTTGGTGATGAGGGACGGGTTGGACACCATCTGAGGAGGAAGGGCAGGGAAGAGCAGGAGCCAGCTGGCTGGGGATGGAGGCCCCCCACCCCTGATCTCCCTCTCCAACTCTAGGGACGCCCCGCCCCCATCACTGCGCCCCGCCCCTCCCCCAGCCGCTCACGTAGTCTCGGTGGGTGTAGGATGTGATGCAGGAGGCACACTCAAAGATGTAGACTATGAGCATCAGCAGCAGGTACTGTGGAGAGAGCAAGGGCAGCCCTTGGCGAGCGGGCAGGAGGCCAGACCTAGGTGCCTCGGGCCAAAGGACCAAACCAAAACTTCTTCTCTGTTTGTTTTTAGAGTATAGAGCTCTCTGGTCAGCCTGGAGATCACTCCATGTAGACCACGCTGGTTTCAAATTTACAGATATCCCCCTCCAACTCCCCCACCCCGAAAGAGATGGGATTGAATGTGTACATTTACGCCCAGCCCCAGAAGGAACTGTTGTCCAGTGGGAGAGCACTACCCAGCTTGTTTAAGATTCTGGGTTCTGTCCCCGGCAGGCTGTGCACACACACTCAACAGACAGAGGGGTTAGTTGTGAAAAACCAGTGTGTGGGGTAGAAGACTGAAAAAACTTGAGAGCAAGCTGGTCAGTGACAGCACACTCCTGTGATCCCAGCCCTAAGGAGGCAGATCTCTGTGAGTTCGAGGCCAGCGTGGTCTGCAGAGTGAGTTCCAGGACAGCCAGGGCTGCACAGAGAAACTGTGTCTGGGGTGGGGTTGGAGAGAAAGAGAAATGGAGAGAGAGAAAAGCCAGACATTTTCTAAAGGTACTTAGGGACCAGGTATGATGACACGTCTTTAATCCCAGCACTCGGGAAGCAGAGGCAAGAGGATCTGAGTTTGAGGCTAGCCTCATCTATAGAGCAAGCTCCAGGCCAGCCAGGGCTACCTAGAGAGACCGTATCTCAAAAGAAACAACAAACAAAAAAAGTAGTTAGGTTGACTTTGGGGCTTCGGTTAGATTGTTACATCAGAAAGTTAAATATTTGATTGAGGACAGGGAGAAAGGCAGGAAACAAACACGAGCTGGTGAGATGGTGCAGGCCTTTAACCTCCGCACTTGAGGTGGACACAGACGGATGCCTGAGGGCAGCCTGGTCCACATAATGAGACCTTGGCTCAAGAGAGGCGAGTGGGGGATAAAAGAAGGGAGTGGTGAGGAAGGCCTTCCATTGATAGCTCCATCTCATACATAAGAAAGCCGAAGTCTCCTAAACCAGCTCCCCTCCCAGGCCACACCCTGTGCTGTTCCCTGATGCCAGCTACTGCTGCCCCCACTGGCCACAGGACCTTTGCTCATGCTGCTGGCTCTCCCTGGAGCACTCTTCTCTTAAAGGCACCCTGGGCTCACTGCCCGAGCTCTGAGCTCTGCTTTTCTTGGCGTCCCGTGGCTTTGGGTTTCCCTTGGCTTCCCCAGGCTCCCTTTACCCCCCCAGATCCAGGACTCTCTTAGTTGTGCTCTGCGCTTCTTGTTCAGTGAGCATTTGCTGACTACGTAAGGGTTGGTCCCGGGAGCCTGTAGGACCCTCCACAGCGGAGGAAGCACTGAGCTGTTGGTATGGGACGCCCAGGAGAGGCAGCGGCCCCCTCTGAGAGCTTCAGTTTGTTTCCCTGTCGGGTGAATGGGCTTAAAAGCACAATTTCATATGGCTTCAGGGAGGACTGAGAGAGCTTGAATGTGGCAGGGATCAAAATATGAGCTTCCTGGGCCTGGAAGTTCAGTTCCAAGCAAGCCTAGTTGACACAGTAAATTCAAGGCCAACCAAAAAGCATAGTGAGGCCCTGTCTCAAAACAAACAAAACAAAAAGACAATGGGCTGGCTCGATGAGGTGGCTCACGCCTGTAATCCCAGCCCTGGAGAGGCGAAGGCAGTGGGGGCTGCACGGGGAGACTGTGTCTTCAAAAGACAAATCAGGGGCTGAAGAGGGGCTGCTTTTGCAGAGGACCTGAGCTCAGGTCCCAGCGCCCCCTTCAGGCTGCTCACAGCCACCTGTAACTCCAGCCTCAGGGATCCGGCCTTCTCTTCCGGTTTCCTTGGACACACACCTGAACATTCACACGCCAATAAAACATACAATACTACTTAAACAAAAACTGGCGTGGGGCTAAGGGCTGGTTTGTTCTAGTGTAACTGGGCTGTGTGGTCCTGGTCTTTAAACCAGGTCCAGTTTTCTGTTGAACAGCGTATAGGTACAGGTGATGACAGCGGTGGTGGTGTTTCACAACAGGCCTCGTGACACAAATGAACTAATCTGTGTCAACTGTTGAGCTCCTGGCATAGGTGGCGTGCTGGGTAAATGATAGCTATGTTATGATTGCATCTTCATTGTCATTGCTGCCACAACTCAGCACCACGGACCTTGGAAGCCAAATTATTTATATACACATATAAAATTGGGAATTTGAAACCCTATTATTTGGTTTAAAATATATATACACATATATACTTTATATATACATGTATATTGCTTTTAGGAGCTTCCTAGCAGCTGTGCTGAACACCCCTCTTCTTGTACCCCAGTTTCCTCTGTACAATGGGGGTGATGGCTAAAACTAAGTTATGGGACCAGAACATGGTGAATTAGGTTTTTCTTTTTTTTTTTTTTAAGATTTATTTATTATGTTACAGTGTTCTGCCTGCATGTACACCTGTAGGCCAGAAGAGGGCACCAGATCTCATTGTAGATGGTTGTGAGCCACCATGTAGTTGGTAGGAATTGAACTCAGGACCTCTGGAAGAGCAGCCAATACTCTTGACCTCTGAGCCATCTCTCCAGCCCGGACAAGACATTTAGGTCTTAAATGCAGTCCCATGAAGAAGTCAAGCTCATGGCCCTGCTGTCTCCCAGTCCCACCATGCCCATCCTGGGATCTCACCGTGAGGATCATGGACCGACGGCGACAGAGTGCGGCTCCGACGCCGAAGCTGGCCACCACGAAGAAGGAGAAACCACAAAAGATGGCGATCCAGGCGCCAGCGAACACGTCGTCCTTGCCTGAGACGCCCATCAACGGATACACGCGATACTGGTCGGCGGTCACCCACACTGTCTCAGCAAACAGGGCCAGGCCTGACAGCTGGGCAGGGAAAGTTTGGGCCAACAGTCTCCATAACGCAGGTCTTGCCTGGTCCAGAACCTCCCATGCCCTTGGAAGGGCTTGGAAGGGAGGTCAGCTCACATTTTTATGAGCAGGGATAGGGTAGGGAAAAGCCAAGAAGGAAGAAACGGTATAGCTAGGACCTTAGTCCCCACATCCTAGGGGCCAGTTGCTTCCAAGATAAAAGGCTTGGCAAAGAAGGTGGGCACAGCGACTGCCCTGTTGGCCGCCAGGCTTCGAGGTGCCCATCTGAGGATTTTACGGGTGGGCAGAACTGCGGGCTCAGTTCATCCTACAGGTGTAGTCTCGGGAAGGGCAGGAGCCAGCTTGTAGGGCTGTTTTCTGCAGCGCCCTGATAAAGGGAGTGGAGGCTCCCTGGCAGAACGCCTGGAGCCTGGCTTTCTGCGGTCCTGTACGGAGCAGCCTAGAGGCCGGGAGAGCTACTGAAGGGCGTACAGTGGGGTGAGTTACGCTGGACAGACAGAAAAGGCTTATCTGTTCCCGCTTGCCTAAAGAAAGATCAGAAGGGCCGGGGGCTGTCAGCCAGCAGTGTGTTTCTCTGACAGGCAGAAAACCCTGGGCTCAGCTGGCAGCCTTGTGCAAACTGGGCCCTGCTGGTGCATTCCTGAAAGCCCAGCACTTGCAACGTGGAGGAGGGAGGATCCAAAGTTCAAGGTTACGTAGGGAATTTGAGGCTAGGCTAGGCTACATGAGAGACTTTCAAAACAAAAACAAAAACAAAAATTTGGCCCTTACAGAGTTGTCGTGGGCACAAAGGAATTTTAAAAACTCCTGTGTTCTCTGCAAAGCCAAGCATGGTGATAACACACCTCTAACCCAGTCTCACGAGTAGCAGAGCTGGGATATGGACCCAGCCTGCCTGCCTCAGGGCAACGCACAAGCTCCCCATAGTTTCCCTTTCTTGAAAACCAGCATCACCACATGAGCCGGACATGGTGGGGTAGCCCTGGCTGTCCTGGGACTCTCTTCACCAGGCTGGCCTCTACCTCCTGAGTGCTGGAATTAAAGACATGGGCCACCATACCCAGCCAGAATAATAATAATAATAATAATAATAATAATAATAAAAAAAAAGGATTTGGTCTCCTGCAGCCATGCTGGTCTCCAAACCTCTAGGTAGCTGAAGATGGCCTTTAACTGATTTTCCTGAGTGCTAGGGTCACAGGTGTGGACCACACCCAGCTGATCTCTGTCTCTCCCCGACCCCCGAACCAATCTGTGGTTTAGATTGGCTTTAAACTCACAGAAGCTCTCTGGCCTTAGCCTTCCAAAAGTGAGGATTACAGATGTGTACCACTGTTCCTGTCTATCAAGCCCCACCCCAGTCCTGGCTGAATCCACACAGAGGATTCAGTTACAGACAAAGAGCACCCAAAGAGAACAGATGGCTCCCTCTGTAAGGTCAGATAGCCGGGACCCCTGCCCCCCCCCCCCCCCCCCCCCCCGGCTCGGGGACGAGAGACTACAGCAGAGCAGCCGGTAGACCTGGGACCCAGCCCCACCTCGGGTTGGGGCTGGCCCCTCCCCCCCACACTCCCGTGCTCCCCAGAACTGGGGCCTCTCACCAGAATAATGATGTTGCCCACGACCAGCAGGCCCACCACCACGGGAGACCCCTTCTCTCCCTCGGCCGCTGCAGGAGCCATCTTCCTGCTGGGAACACAGAAGGAGGGCTTCGGCTGGGCAGGGGTGAGGAGGGAAGGCTGGGGTGCCCGGCCACACCCTCTTCTCCACTCCATACCCCACCTGTCAGGAGATGCTCAGTGGCTGCAGAGCCCAGGCTGATGCCCGGATGCCCAGCACGGCACAGTCTGGCAGTGAGCCTTCTGCAGAACAGGAAAGGGCTCATGCCCTCCCAGCCCTGCTGCCCTGTCAACTCCCACCTCCTCACCTTCTCTGCCAGAGCCTCTCTGGCCAACCCCAACCACAGCAGCTCCCTATATATGCCCAAACCCCTCCTCAAGGAGGGGACAGGGGTTCAGCAGCCTGACCGGGAGAGATTTTATGAGCTCCCTGACACTCAAGTGATTTCCAGACCAGAAATTCAGGCTTGTGCTCCTGCCTGGTCACTGGGGCAAGGTGATGTACATAGCCAGAGCCTTGAATTCCCAGGCTGCAGCGGTGTGGGGGGGGGGGGGTAGCGGGGAGAGGGACAGGCTAACTACCTGATGTGTCCTTTCCCTAGGGGCGACGAGGGCTTTCCTGGGGGCAGGGGCAGGCCCATGATAGATCCTCCCGGGATCCCAGACAGAAGGGTGCCTTTGGAGCCCGGAGAGAGGGAGAGAGGAGGACCAGAGAGTCCCGCAGCAGAGCATGGGGCAGGCCAAGGCTGGGCAGAGGGAGGCAAGCGAGGGGAGAGGTAAAGGGCGGGCTCAGAGCTGCGTGGTTAGGGATGCGGCTGCAGAAGAGGATGGCGCTGACAACAGCTTTGAGGGGGTCTGAGACAGGTGTGTATATATGAAGAGGGAGGAAGGAATGTGTTAGAAGAAAGGGGATGTATGGGAGAAAAGGAGCCCCTTTTCCCTCCGTGTGAGCACACTCCTTTTTTAAAGTTTTTTTTTTTTTTTTTTTTTTTTTTTGTGAGCACATGCTTTGTCTGCTTGTATGTCTGTGCGAGGGTGTCAGAGTTACAGACAGTTGTGAGCTGCCATGTGGGTGCTGAGAATTGAACCAGGGTCCTCTGGAAGAGCAGCCAGTGTTTTTAATCACTGAGCCATCTCTTCAGCAGACCCCCCCCCCCACACCCCACAGATTCTTCAGGCTGAAGAATGGAAAGGATCTGAGTTCAAGCCAGACACAGTAGTGCATGCCTGTAACTCCACCAGTGGGGAGTTGTAGGTAAGGAGGATTATGGGTTCAAGACCATCCTGAGTTACTAGGCAGAGGGGTGGGGAGAGGGAGGGGGATAGTGAGTAGAGGAGTAGGAAGAGGGAAGACAAAAGGGAAAGGGAAGAGGAAACAAGAATCCTGCGGTCTCCTCTGCGCCTGTCCTGTCCGGTTGACAGAATCTAGGAAAGCTTCAGAGGCAGCCAGAGGGCTCCCCGACGGCGCCCCCTGGTGCCCGCTTAAAGCAAGGGCCAAGCCCCAGAATTTCTCCAGGGCTTTTGTTGAACTTTCTCCACCAAGCGGCTGTTTATCTCAGAAGAGGGCAAGAAAAATGGCACTACAAATTCCCTTCTTGAGCTGGGCCAGGTGGTGGCACATGCCTGTAATCCCAGAACTCAGGAGGCAGAGGCAGGCGGATTTCTGTAAGTTCGAGGCCAGCCTGGTCTACAGAGTGAGTTTCAGGACAGCCAGGGCTACACAGAGAAACCCTGTCTCAGAAAACAAACAAACAGTTCCCTTGTCAAGACCCTGGGTTAGCAGAGTGGGAGATACTGGGGCAGGAGATGTCTTCCAATTTAAATAAATGGAAATTAAGTAATCAGCCTACTTTAGATTTAAATACCTTTTCTCTCTTGATTTACATCTATCTTAAGGGCTTCTAAGAAAATCTAAACAAAAATTCATGGACAGCAGATGTGTTTCAGTTAAAACAGTTTGCTAAGCGATTGGGTCATGCATATATATGTGCGTGTAAACTTTTTTTTTTTTTTTAAAAATTTGAGACAGGGTCCCTCTACACAGCCCTGGCTGGCCTGGCACTCATTCTGTAGTCCAGGCTGGCCTGGAACTCACAGGGATCCGAGTGCTTCTGCCTCCCGAATGCTGGGATTAAAGGTGAGCATGGGAACATTTAGCCTCATACTAACAATTGTTTCCCCCAGTCTTTTTTTTGTTTTCTTATATTTTTGGTTGTGAGCTTTGCCTTTAGGGCTGAGCCATCTCTCCAGTCCATTTTTTTCTATTCTTTAAAAGGTTTTTGTTGCTGAGTTTTGTTTTGTGTTTTGTTGTTGTTGTTTTTTGAGACAGGGTTTTTCTGTGTAGCCCTGGCTGTCTGGGCTCACTCTGTAGACCAGGCTGGCCTTGAATTCAGTGATCCACCTGCCTCTGCCTCCCCGAGTGCTGGGCTTGCCACCACGCCTGACTCTGAAGTTGTATTTATCTTGTGTGTATGAGTGTTTTACCTGCATGCATGTGCACACCACACGTGTGCTAGGTGCTGGCAGAGGTCAGAAGGCATCAGATCCTGCACAACAGGAGCTACAGATGTTTGTGACCTAACCCAGGTCCTCTGCAAGAGCAACAAATGCGCTAAAGTGACAAGCCCCCCCCCCCCCCCCCCAGCGTTGTGTGTGTTCACAGTGCCTGTGTGGAGGTGGGGACAGCTGCCGGGAGTCCGCTCTCTCCTCCCACCACATGGCTCGGCGAGGCACTTGCCACCCGGCCTGCTGACCCGCATTCCATCCCCTGGGCGCAGCTGGTGGGGGAGAACTTGCTCCTGCCAACTGTCCTCTGATCTCCCCTCAGGCTACGGCACAAGCACCCTTAGACACAAGCATGCGTGCGCGCGCACACACAGACACTAAAGAAGGTGGGGAAAACCGCTGGGGCTGGAGGATGGCTCAGCAGGTGAGAGCACACACTGCGTTCCAAGACCCAAGCTCAGTTCCGGCCACCCATGAGCTTACGAGTCAGGGAAACTGATGCCCTCTTCTGGCCGCCAGAAGTAAAATAAAATCTCTTGAGCAGCCAGGGCTGTAAAAACAGCCACTCAGAAAGCTGAGAATGAGGACTGTATTCAAGGGCTACACAGTGAGTCCCAAGGTCAGCCTGGGCAGTTGCAGGATTCTATCTCAAAAAGCAAAATAAAAAGAAGTGAGGATGCCAGAAAGATGGCTCAGTAGTTAAGAGAATTCACTGTTCTAAAGGAGTCTGGTTCCCAGAATGTTATCAGGCAGCTCACAACCACGTGGAACTCCCGTTCCAGATCCAAAGCCCTCTTCTGGCCCTAGAGGCCATCTGCATGCATGTGCACATACCCACATAAATTTAAAGAGAAAAGAGCTTGTGATGTAGCTCAGTCCCTGCCTAGAATCCCCCAGTGAGGGGCTGGAGTGTAGCTCAGGGGTAGAGCCCCTGCCTAGAATCCCCCAGTGAGGGGCTGGGGTGTGGCTCAGTGGTGGAGCCCCTGCCT